AGGATTCTAAAAACGGGCTTAGTACCCTTTTTTGATTTCTAAAGCCAGTGATTCCATCGAAATGGAACCAAAGTCGTAAATAATGACGAGAAGAACATCACTGATCAGTTTTGCTTGGCTTTGCTTTTGGGTTTTGCTTTAAACGTTTTTGCCGAATGCGAGCGCTACGATATTATGCTCCGACCCAATACTTGTAATGCTAACAACAACACACAAGAAAATGGCAGGCTCAAAGCATAATTAGGAAGGGGAAGGTTGACTGAAGCAACCTCTAGCAGGATAGAAAAACCATGCTGTTTCAGCGGTAATGCAACATTTGAATTTGATGGTGGCAATTGCCACCGCCAGGGCCGAAAGGGTTAATTTAACCTAAATCTACGAGTTGGTCTATAAATAGTATATCAGAAATGTCCCTGTCACGCTTCTCATATCTAGTATTAAATTCGAATATTTTTTCGGTTGTTCTCTGCTTGAAAGAAAGTTCCAAAAGGCGTTCAGAGTTCCTTAACGCTTGGTGATGTCATGGTATATTGAGGAGCAAGAACCTGTTTACCTCGACTATAACGCTACCACTCCGCTTGATCCGAAAGTGAAGACAGCGATCACCGATGGACTGGAGCTATGGGCCAATCCATCCAGCCAAAATCCCGAAGGTGAGGATTCATCAGGTTCAGAGAAGCCCTATTTTTCGAGATATTTTCCCGTTCAGCTGAGAAAGCGAGAGAAGCTGTGAAGAAGGCAAGACAATCACTCGGTGAACTTCTTCACGTGTCCGATGCCGAAGTTATCTTCACTTCTGGAGGCACTGAGGTATTCCAGCTGTTTCTCCCCCTATTCGCTTCACATACTTTTAACATGTTTCAGGCGAACAACTGGGTGATCTATTCGGCTATTCAGAGCTTCAAATCCATTCCGGAACATTCCTCAACCATTCCCCACGTGATCACTTCTACAATCGAACATCCGTCTATGATGGAACCTCTCTGTCACCTTCGAGACACAAGTTCTATTGGTAGGCTGGCAGGGTCTTTTTGAACATTTTAATAGTCAGGAAAATTCAAGTTTGTGAAAGGCCCTTGATTATTTGTATTTCGGCGCTATCGCAAAATACGGGGGCATCCTCTAGGACTAAGCCAAGCAGAGGTAAGAAGGCCGGGGAAAATGAAAACTGCTCAATTGCTCACGCACCGTGGGTCCCTCCTCATCCTAGGGCTTAGTTTCGTTTTAACAAAAAGGGGGATTTTCAAGCGGTTCCAAGAGCACAGCTACCACAATGCCCGTGTATCTCACGACAGTGTCTTATTCTATTACCATCGACAAGCATCGTTTTCATGGGAGAGGAGTAGAGATGGCCGAATGAGGTCGGGACTGTACGCAGCACTGACTTTGTAAAGAACGTGGAGTCCAACTTATGTTGAGGAGAGATCTTTGAAATGCGGAAAGAATATAATAACTTCTCGTTCAGCCAGTGATTGCGTGAATGCATAGGTGGAGCGCTTCCACAGTAAAATCCATATACCTACTAGACGTGCTCGGTGTTGCAATTTGATCGCCGGGGCCACGAGCTTACCACAAGTCGCACTTCCATACTTGTGAAACCTTGATGCTGCTAGATGCAGTTCAAAATTCTCGACATCCTGGAGATATTCGTTTTTTTGCGGTTCCTGACGTGCACAGGTGTACAGTGAAGAAGGCCTTCGCACATTACGGGAAAACTCAAAGTAGAACTTGCCTGCAGAAGTCTATCAGCAGATTAAAATAAGCACTTTGTTGACTGCTGTTTTGAGCATTTCCCACATCTTTTTAATCCTGTTTCAAGCCATGTAACGCGTGTAATTACGGGGGCGCCAAAATTACGGATTATTACGCCAAAATTACGGAGACAACGCATGAGCAAACAATTTGAACTGATATTCACAGATGCTGTTTTCTTCTGTCCTAGTTTTGGTACTGTGGTGTAGAATTGTTTATGCTTACCTTGTTCAACCACCAAAATCTATGGTAGCTGCAGCGGTTGACTGATACTGACACCGTCCCTAAATCATTGGACTCTCGACGTTGAGGGTTTTTGGCACGCGACATTATCATCGTTTTGGTGTATACCCGAGCACTATCAATAGATGCTTCCAAGTGGTACAGGGGACAAGGAGCTGAATGCAGTCATTCTGGAGAGAAGAGCGTGTTTCTGTGGCGACTGAAATTTAACACGTTGACGACATTGTGCAGCGCATGCGCATCACACCTTGAGCACCGTGTGGGACCGTGTGCAGCGCATGCGCTGCACACACAAAATATTATTTTTTCGCGCATGCGCTACTTCTTTTCTAATTTTTTGCATCTATTCTATAGACTACACCATAATATGACTAGACACGGCGAGGTTCATTGAATGGTTGAATATGCTCCTTTTTAGCGAAGGTTTTCTAAGCCCTACGAATTTCCCAATTGTGTTCATTTTGAGGTTCACTGCAGCAAAAAGCAACTGAAACTTGCCTTTCATTGCCAGAAAACGTCAATTAGATCGATTTTTCACAGCTGTCCCTTCTGGTAAGTTTGACACATCGAATATCATTCTAAACATTTTGTTGCATCCGAGTTTTGGGTATTTAAAGCTCAAAATTCACGGATTTGATGTGAGGCGGCGGCGCCTGCAAAATCGCCGTGGTCCCACGCGGTGCAAAAACCCAAAACGCGCGTTGTCGTCAACGTGTTAAGATTGTGTGCGATAGAATTTGCAGGTAGTTGACGCGCTGGTTTCACTGGATGTCACGAGAGATAGGAATCAGGGGGGCTCTTTTGGACTTATCAGAGCCCATTGCTATCCTGAGTTTATTTTCACTTTGAAAATCGTTGCTGGGCCTTCCATCAAGTAGGAGCTCCCGTTTACGAGGCAAGGGTGGTTCAGTACTAGTGCAGCATTGATGCAGAACCGATTTTTTCGACTTTGTCGGCTTAAACGGTGGTAGAACAGCATTTCAGATCTGAGCTCGATAGGGTACGCTGTCGGATCCGTTCTAGAAGCTGAGGCTTGCATAAAACACATTATGTCTAGGGATTCGTTGAAGAAACCGCTCTAAAATGAGCTTGACGAGTCCTACTCGCCACATTGCGTGCCACAGTCGATGGTTCCTCGATGTTTCTGAGGACCCGTATAAACACAAACCAAGGAATTTCAAAAATTGCATGGATGTCGACGATTCAGAATGGGACTGTGCACGTCACTGCATTTTTGTTTTCAAAGAATTGCACCTTGCTCATCCTAGGCAACTCGAAGTCGCTGTCTCCGTAATTTTGGCGCACCCTGTACATGTGTAAATGCACATTTCGCGATCAACAGATGTAATTATTTCGCTTAAAAATAATGCCTATGTGCGCAGAAGAGATCATAATAGATCAGTAGAGAAAGGAAAACAAGTGATATCACAAGATCGCCA